TATAGCACCCCTCCCCCACCCCACCCCACCCCCCCCCCCCCCCCCCCCCCCCCCCCATTTCCCTTTTACACAGTTTGTGGACCCAACCCCGAATATAAACAACAGGGAACTCAAAACTGACAGCGATCTTATGATAAATGAGGTCTATATAAGGCACGGGGGAAGGGGTGGTGTCACTTCTGGCGTGCTGCTGAAATTTAAAAAAAAATATCCCCTTTCATATATTGCCGAAGACCAAAAATCTGATCCATGTTATAACTTATATATTTATATAGGAAGTAACCCACAGCCACCCCGTGGTATAGGGAATATTGAGATAGGGGAGGTTAACTTGCCCTTTTTATTGATTTAAAAGTCGTTTGGATATATGCAATATTTGAGGCAAAACATATGGCATATTGAAATGTGATATACGGAACTTTCATTTGAAAGGATTGCACTTTTGGGATATGGGATAATGCTAATACCCCCCCCCCCCCCCTTTTTTTCCCCACCTCCAAAAAAAACCCATAAACGCGAAAAGAACATTGAAACTTTGAAAGAATTTAAATTATTTTGACAAGCTGGAAGACACATTTATTATTTTTCAGTTACTATTATCCCATAAAGAAATTACGATTATCAAACAAGAAAAATGCCATCGAATTACGATTATCATCCCGAATTTTTCGACGTCAATTTTCTAAGCGCTTAGACAATTATAGTGCACCGTTACGATTCAAATATGATGTAATGGTATAGATTAAACCTTGCAGCTGAGTAACTCCTGACAACAACGGGCCACATTTGAGAAAAATGACTGAAAAGATTTTACCTATTTCTGCCGTCGCCATATTGGGATCGTCGTAATTCCAGTTACGATTATCAGTTTAACACCACTGAATTTGCAAAGTTATGATTTATAAAACACTTTTCTTAAATTCACTACAAAAGTCTAAAAGTCTGAAAAGACCAGTTTTTGTCTCAATTTGCATGAACTTTTACTCGACATTCTCCAAAAGTATGACTTGTGTCTTAATTTTTCTTGACAAATTCTCATTTATATTAAATTTGTATGAAATTTACTCAACATATTCTCGACATTCTGAATATGGTCTTAAAATTTCTTGACAAATTCTTGACATTTGAATACTGTCTTGAAATTTCTCGACATGTTCTCGACATTCTTATTTTTTCTCAGTATGGCTTGACATATTCTGAACATTTTGAATCGTGTCTTAAATTTACTTGACAGTTCTGAGTTTTACAAATCATGACCAATATTCATGATATAACTTTAATCTTTATTTCTCTTTATATGATATACTGTTGTTTCAAGTTACACTTCTTTACAACAAAAATAAAAGTTGGGCATGTAAAATAATTGAAAATTGGGGTATATAAATATTTTTACAAATGCAAATATGGCTATGAAATCTAAAGTATAAAATAATTCAAATGTGGGTGTGTTGATATAAAACAATTTCAATGTGGGTTTTTAAATAATTACAAATTTTGATTCCTAAATCTTATAAATTAAATGATTCAAACCAATCATACTGTAGACATATTTCATTCTACATTCATAATATTCAATGTTGATATGGTAAATAATTATTATACCAAAATGTGGTTTATATAAATAGCAAATTATGATGATATACAAATCATTCATTTAACAGAAAAAAAATTTGTGTAATGTCATCTGTTGGAATATATTAACACATGGACAGGATGTTCCCCAAAAAATTAAGGTATTCCACACCCCAGAGTACACGCAACTGTCAAATAGAAGTTATTGCTTTACCTGTAATCAACCGACCATGCCACTACAATTTAAAAAGTTTGTTGATAGATGAAAATGAAAATCATCATTTTGATGAAAAAAAATTGAATTGAAGTGGATTTTCTTCATCAAAATTATGAAGTTAATTATTTTAACATAAAAACAAATTGAATAATTCCCAAAGATTAAAAGAAAATTATTATCTACTCCAGGAATAATAAAAAAAAATGTATTTATAATGGGTCCCATCAATGACTTCTATAGAAATGATTTCTATAGAAATCATCGGTCTTATAAAATGGTTCTCAAACAGACATGCATAATATAGATCTAAACATTTTTTTCTTTTCAGGAAGGAGTTATCACAAATATTTATTTTTGATAAAAAATTATAAAATTCAACACTCAAATTTGAATAAAAAATGTTTTTGGATTGTTCTAAAAAATGAATAAGGTTTTTGATGGGAACACATTCTTTGACCTAAACGAAACCCCCCCCCCCCCTCTTTATTTAGCCACACAAACCCAAAAGATGAATTGTGGGGTCCAAAAGAGATACAAGACACCTATTTTAGTAAAGCAAATTTGACTGGCAGTTTTGCGAACGGCAAAAATCTAAATGCTGTTGGTCAATACCTTCGACTTATATTCCAAGTGAAAACAATTACTTAAATGTTTAATAAAAATAAATCAAAATTAAACTACATGGGGGATTATTCAGGGTATTCCAACTTAGTTGCACCAAAAGGGTATCTTACTATACCAAATTAATCCTTGATTCTTCAAAGTTTAGTTTAGCCATAATAAAAAGGAGTATATAACAGTAATAGAATTTCATAAACAGTGCAGAATAAGTCTGTTCACATTTCAGGCGAAATTTATACTGTTGAGATAGTGTCAAGACATATTTAAGACTGTCAAGAATGTGTCGAGACATATTCAGACATTATTTAGAATGTCAAGAATATGTCGAGACATATTCAGACATTATTAAGAATGTCAAGAATATGTCAAGACAGATCGAGACAAATTTAAGACAGTCAAGAATTGGTCGAGACTAATTCAGACTCTTATCAGATGATACAGGAAGTGTCGAGAAATTTTAAGACAATGTTCATACTGTCAAGACACTTGTCAAGAAAAATCAAGAACCTTATTAGACAAATTCATACTATGTCAAGAATTTTTAAAAATTATTCAGACAAATTAAGAATGTCGAGTAAAAATTCATGCAAATTCAGACAAAAACTGGTCTTTTCAGACTTTTTGACTTTTGTAGTGATACTCCGTTGATAGATTGAGAAATTCTAAGAAATTAAAGTTCAAACTCCTTCAGCCACTCTTGACCTTGGCTATTCTTTTAATGATCCTTTTTGGTCATATATCTCATAACGTATTTTGGGTATTTATACATCCTCGGATTTCAATTGTTTGGGTATGAACGTTCTTGATGAAGATAAATATAGAAAGGCGCGATTTCGGCAAATCAAGGTTCCAATACGTAATTACAGTTTCTTTGGACCATGTCAATAATATCAAAAAATGAGGTTTAAGATATATTCCATTGTCCGTCATATTTCATTTTGACGAAGAAATAAGCAGTTACATGCAAGTTTTGTTTGTATCGAGGACAGTTCACTTTCTTTTCTTTACATTTTATTGTCTTTTGTCCTTGAGAAATGATTTCAAAGGTTCTTTTAATTTATCTTTTTGTGTGTTATCAGGATATTGATAAGCTTAACACTCATTTTAGCATTTTTGACAATTTCCCTGCAATTTGAAGTTTTAATGCTCGTCCACTTCGTAATTGATTTGGTCTTTCAACTGTTTTATTGAGTCTTATGTAGAAATTTGAGTCTGACGTATTAAATGGTCAGCCTGGTACTTTTGTTGAGTTTTAATTAACAACCATTATAACGATGTAAATGTCTGATGCCATTGAGTCCTAAAGGATATCAACTACGTAGTAGGCAACGCTTTTGTGTTGACATGACATATCATTGATACGTCATTTTCTTTAAAGTTTATCAAAATATTGAATTATTCGAAACACTTATTTTTTTTCTACCCCATGCATAGGTAGCCTAGGACGTATTTGGCTTGTTGGTGTAATAAAGAAGACCTGAATCTACATTTCCACCAAGACTTCCAAGTGGCTAAGTTGAAATCATCCCTTCGACAATTTTACGGACGCCATCACGAGTTTGTTGACCGTTATGGAATATCTGTTTCACAGATGACGGGACCTTCTTTACATTTTGGGGCACCAGAGATCAACCCGGTTTTGGTGCGGTTCGTGTTGCTCAGTCTTTAGTTTTCTATGTTGTGTTTTGTTTACTGTTGTTGGTCTTTTCGTCGTTTTTCGTTTTTTGCCATTGTACTGTCAATTTGTTTTCGACTTATGAGTTTGAATATTCCTTTGATATCTTTCGCCACTAATCTGTATTGGTAGGGGTTCAAAACATAAACAAAAAAGACGTCAGGACACATTGATTTTTTTTTTTATAAATTTTCCAAAATCTCTCATCTGATTTCTGGTTGATATTTCATACTGTTTGTTTTCGTTAAAAGTCATTTCAAATAGTGTTGATTTCGTATTGCATTTTATAGGCAGTTGTGATATTTTCTGGAGAAGTAAGGCTATACAAAGGAATGAAACAAATGTAGTCGAAGGCCAAGCAACATTATTATCAAAAGAAAATGGACGAAACGACGAAAAGACGAAAACAAAAACGTCACAAAACTCAACAAAGAAAACTAATGATTTAGCAACACAAAACAAAATGGGTTTGAACTCTTTTGTCCCTGACTATTGTTGTTTACTATGTGTTAGCCTCTTCGTGTATTTTGGTTTTGTGTGTCGTTCGAATGTCGTTGACGTATTCTCCAAAGCTCTTTTAATTCATGACCAATATTGATTGGCAACATATAATTCAATTGCCATAACTAACAAACAGAAGGATATTCAACAGCAACAACCACGAGCTTAACTGCGGCCCGGGATGAACATGTATTATGCCAAATTGAAAGAATAAAGATTAATTTTCTACTATGCTGATGTTAAAAGTTACAGTTTTAAATGTTTAAAGTAAAGAAAACTTCGTGTTCCGTAATGTCGTTAATCTTCATAACCATAAATTTTAACAAATCAGTTGAAAAACGATTTACCATTTAACCTAAGAAATTATATATTTTATTAATGACATTTGTAAAACACCAATAACATGAACCAAAATGTGTTTACATATTTTATTTCAGATTAAAGTTTTGTATTTCACTTGGAGCAGATAACACAAGTAAGCTCTCTGCCACTAACGTACGGTGGACATTTTAAACTTCCACAAACAGCTTCCACTGGATATACGACACCTTCATCACGATCTGCATCTCCACCAGGCACGTATTCCAGTTTCTCGTCTACACAGATATATTCTGATGGAGTACGACCATTTGTACATGACTGCGACATTAGATATCCAGAGAATTCCTTATGCCATCCGTCATGACATGTTACTTTACCTGGTACCATTAAAATTGTTGATTTTCTAGACTGGCATACAGCACATGGCATATCTTTATCGTGAAAAGTCTTTGGATATGGCTTGTTATAAGCCATTTCATATTCGATACCATATATCCTACCTCTCCCTGTGTTTACCCCTTCCTTATAGTCATTCCATTCAGGATTTTTCGGTAAACATAGAAAATTTGTCCCGGACCCACCCATGTTGAAGTGTTTTCCGGCAGCATATCCTACAAAAATTCCATTAAATTGTCATATGCATTTTATTTTTTTTACCAAAGGAACATCAATTACAATTTAAGTTTTGCTACATTATTCAAACATGTAGCCTTAGTTTTATTTGCTTTTCTTTGTGTATTATAGAAAGTGTTTTTATTTAAGGATGTTCGATCCTCTGTTTCAAAATAAGAAGCGTAATTAAAGATTGTAATAAACTGATAGTATATAAATAACGGAACTTAAAAAGCAGAAAAAATTGATAGGTCTGTGTCCTTTTTATTAGAGATATAAACAATTGAAAATTTGGCGGGAAATGTTTCTCTCTTGATTTTTCATACATTAAACATTGGCACCTTTTTTCTTTCTAAAACTATGAAAAATAACAAGGATTTTATAAGATTTTCAAAAATGGCTTTTTAAACTATATGTAATAACATTATGAAAAGAAAAGTAGGGGTTAGCTGGCAATTTTTTTTTTTTGGCACTACATGAATAAAACTAGAGTATTCCGAGTATCTGACATAAAGTCGAAAACAAGAGTAGCGAACATCCTTAAGTCATCTGATTTTTATGAACACTTTTTAAATTTCTTTCATAACATTAAAACAAAAGTATATGTTATGCTTAACACTTGTTTTTATGATGATAGCTTATATCAGAACTGCAGTAACAACTTACCATCATAAATAAGATTAGACTCTTTTGGACATAATGTTTTCCCCCATCTGATATACGTCTCGCCTGAGTTTTCTGGAGATAAAGACAGGTCATGTTAATATTTTTTTTATTAACATTTTATCATAATTAAGGCGCGAGTTTTAGAATTTTATCACGTTTTACACCCTTTGCCATATAAATTCAACGTTAATATATGGATATAAGAAGATGTATGAATACGACTAAGAATTTCAGTTCTTAACAAATGGTCTTAGCATGTGGAAAGGAAGAAAATAAAACATACCATCTGTGTGAACATGCATAGATTGTAGATCTCTCAAGTTCCTCTCAATTTCTTTTATGAGGTGTTCTTTTAAACATCCTGGCTTTCCAGCTCGACAACAAACACAGGATAAAAGGACAACCAAACTGATCTTCAACATGATAATGTTAAATCTGTATCCGTAGCCCACTATTGGGTGTACTAATACAAAGAATGATTACTTTTGTTTTATTATTGATGAAAAAATTTCAATGTTTGTTGATGTAACCGATGTGTAATACGAAACCTTTAATTGTTATTGTGCGTGATTTTTAAATGTCATCTTTAGTTGAGATTCTATAAATGACTGTTGCATGGATCCTTAATCCTAAAACGAAGTTTCTGGGTGCTCAGTTCTTTTGGCCAAAGTACAACTAATTGATATTATTGAAGAAAATATATCGAATTGACTGAATTACCCGAATCTTTTGTTGCTTTACCTGAATACGGCAATTTCTATAATTGAATTTGTTACATTGCGATTTAAGGAAATAAGTGAATTAAAAATAGTGTTACTCTTTATATTCTAAAATCAGTCGTTTACGATATACCCACGCTATCAAATTAATCTTGTCAACTATGGTGTTCAAGATTTTCTAAGGCCCAAGAATCCGTAGAAATAAATATACAATAATTGTGTTTTGACTCGACATAATTACGATATAAGGATAAAGCATCGAAACCGGGAAAATACAAGGATCTGGCACACAAAGTCACAAGGGATCCGACACACAAACAAAAAGCTCATACCTTATCTTAAGTTGAAGATGGCTTCAGCCGAATAAATTCCTTGCTAGTAGTCATTCACGCTTCATTCGCGATTTGAAGAGACTATAACGGATAAAAACAAATCTAACAAGCATTGCAAAGAACACCACGGGGCGTATTAAGTACACGTAAATTAACAGGTAGGAAATAATGTATGAATAACATAAATAATTAGGATGACCGTATCATATTTTCAATAAACAAACAAGTCGAAATAAAAAAATAAAGCAACAAAATTAGTAATTTCAAAAATAAATACATGGTAAGTATGAACAGCAGTCGCGCAAAGAGTTTATGATACGCACACCATGAGCATATTGAAATTGTTGCCAGAATAAATGGAATTTTAAGAAAGCATTTTATCAGGCGTTAGAAAAAAGGCTCTGTAGAAAAATTTGAATGAGAATTTCCTTCGGTGTATGATTAGTGCCTTAAATATGACTGTTAAAAAGTTCCATAATCAAGAACGACAAACGAGATTTTTTTTTAAATCCAAAATCAAGCTTGCTGAAACCAATTCCAACAACAGTGTAAAGTTTGTTTTTAGTTGGAGTCGATTTAAGCTTTCCTTGACCAATAAGATTTTTAAAAAAATATTTTGATAATTAATGTCTATCTATAATTTCATTTCTTCTCGTGTCCTAATTTATAAACAAGAGATGCTTAAAGCATTGCTTACAAAATGAGAACCCCAGCCCTTTGCATAATCCACGCTTTGGTAAGGGAAAACCCAAAACTAATGTATATCAAAAACCAATTAGGAGGTGCACAATGGTTTATTGTGGTTAAGATTCTGCGAAAATTTCAACAAATTATGATTAAGGATATAGGAGAAAAAGGGGACATGAAATAAGCACTTTATAAATTTCGTGAAGCGCTTTTCTGGATTATCTTCACCAGGAGTGCTCAAACTAAAAGCCAGATGCGTAAACATAGGGTAGCGTTAGGAGTATATAACCAAATTGGCCTAAACAGAATAGCCAAATTAATCTGAGGTCAACTTTGTCTAAGTGAGTTTGAACCTTAGTTTCTTCTTAATTTATTTATTTATGAACGGGAAATGTTAATAACTATAAGTTATAAATGACGATAGTATCGAAGCACTGGCAACTGAGTTTATGATAACATTGAATTTCCTAAAATTTCGTACGTCTGAAACACTTTTTGGATTTACCTTTATCAAGAACGCTCAAACCTAAACAATTGAAAACCAGGAATTCGTAAATACACGGCAACATAGCGAGCTAAGAACAAAAAAAAAAAAAGATCTAAACAGAATAGCAAAATTTATTTCAGGTCACCTTTGCCTTTGGAGTTGGAACCTTACTTTCTGAATTATTTCTAAATTTATGAACGGGACATTTTAAATAAATATATGTTTTAAATCATGTCAGTATCGAAGCACGGACTACTGAGAAAATGATACCCTCGGAGACTAACAGTCCACCAGTAGTGGCATTGACCAAGTGTACAGATAGGAAGAAGTCCATGTCATTCAAAAGTAACCCCAGAAATCATTCAGATTAAGAAATGAAATAAGAGGTGCAAAATAACATCATATGAGCAAGATCCTGTGAAAGATTCACAAAGTTCCGTCATGCAAATGCAGATACACATGTCGGACAGAAGAAAAAAACTATCAGACGAACGGACGATGAAAAAAAATGAAAAAATAGTTAAAAAAAGAAAAATCCTTGAGGAAATTGAACTTTACATGAATCATAGCAGGTGTATCGACATGTTATGCGTCTCTTTCTACTTATAGATATTTCGACATGCGCTTCGAATCTTATATTCAGTAACAAGTGTCAATATAAAAAATCAAAAATGGTAATGAGCTAGAATAATAGATAATAACTATCTTGGTTCTATGAAAGAGTTTAATTGAAGCACAAAGGCACTGTAACGATTAAGCAAAGTGGATATGTATTTATTTAAAAAAAAAATCCACATCTAATTGTAGCGGCATGGAGAGTATACTTAATAATATTGCTGAAAATTGCATTTGATTTGATTAATTGAATTTAGAGTATCTGTAGGAATATTTAAAAGGATTAAAGTAGGTCACAGATAGGTAGATAAATTGTTGTGTGCTAAACATCACGTGACAAATACATCATGCATTTTCAGGGCAAGAACAAATTAACAATAAATACAATAGATAGGACCTGTAATAGGAGGTCAGCCGGGATGATGTGCGGGGAATTTGAAAATCTGGAAAATGAGGATATATTAGATAGGGAAAGAAATCAAGTCATCTACGGACCCCTCGAAGAGTTGTTACAAGAGTTCGTAAAGTGCAGAGAGTGTTGCATTCACTACGCAAGTCATCGGATTTCACATCCCCATTTTGACCGCAAAGTAATACATCACGCACAGACAATGTTTTTTTCGAATGTACATAATAACACCATGGTAGTTTCAAGAAGAATCCTTTAAAAGATTCTTGGTAACTGAAAAAAGTTTGACCGTTTTGTGCTCACATAACCGCGCAACCTTTTCTTAAATTCTTTATTTTTTTTTCTTCACCTCATCTACAATAATCAAATGCATTCTTTCAGTGGTAAGATACATTTATTTTAAAAAAATAAGCTTACATTGTCATTGTTAATAATATTTAGATATATATATTCAGATAGTATCAGCAGTCCACAAGCAGATGTTTAGATCCTGTGTTACTATTTCAGAATAATACTTTTCAAATTTCGTACGCCGTGAAGGGGATCACTTAAACTAAAAAATTTCAAAACCAGGGATGTATAAATATGAAGACACGTTAGGAGTAATTTGACCAGAAGGGACATTAAAAAAAATAGGCAAATTAAGCTACGGTCAACTTTGCCTTAGGTAGTTGAAACTTTTGTTTTTTAGTAGTTTCGGCATAAGTCAACATGGAATTTTTATAAAAATGTGGTATAAAATCATGTATCAGTATCGGAACATTGACTACTGGGCTGATGATATCCTCTGACAGTCCACCAGCAGTTGTATCTACCCAGTGCTGATAAATGGAAATATCGTCAGTTCAAAGCGCTTTTCTGGATTTACCTTCATCAGTGGCAATAAATGAAAACAAAAGAGAGGCAGAAGATACAAAAGGCATATTCAAACTCATAAGTAGATGACAACATGACAACACCATGGCTAAAAACGACAAAAGACAACATATAGTATAAACACACAACATAGAAAATAAAGACTGAGGAACACGAACCCAACCAAAAACCAGGGTTGATCTCGGGTTCTCCGGAAGAGTAAGCAGATTCTGCTTCATATGTGGCATCCGTCGTGTTGATAAAACAAACTCGGTGATAAGTCTTATATTCTATAAATTTTTTGCTTTTAAATAGTTCATACAAATATTCAGACAAACTGTCCGGTTCCACCGAATATATTTTGTCAATTTTCTAGCGCTATCCCCAACGGAGTCCTTCAGCAGATTACACTTCTTTTGAATAAAAAATGGCATATAATTACTTTGAGACTAATTTTCATATCTTCTACAACTATGACTAATACAGCGAATATTTATAAAAATAATGCCAATATAGAAAGTATGGATATCATAAATGTTTGCAATGGGTTTAACCAATGAAAAATAAAATGCATATAATTTTGTGATAATCCAAAATGAATTGTTGAGGATTTTGTTCTCGTTTGAAATGGTTTGATAGTGTTGCTGTACATGTATTTTGATGGCTGTGATTAAAGGCATTCTACTTAAATATTTTCCTTACAAACATCATGATGTACTGCCCTATATTAGAGCAAAATTATGATGATTGTGATTGAAGATTTTGCATGAGATCTCTAAAGTAATTTTAGAATTCACACCTGTTTATTATATCTCATTACAATATTTTGAAAACACTCTTTTACTGTTGAAAGAATGGAAAGAGGAGTTTTAGAAAGATGTTTAGACGGCGCTGTAATATATCTTTCGTCAGAAGGATTTTTTTTTAAAGTTTTGATAACGAAGAATATATTTTGTCAGCTTCCATTGTGTGCCTTTAATTCGTTTTGTTTCATACTCGATATTTGTCAACGTCATAGCAATTAAAGATTTTCCCTAATTTATTCAATTGACGTGAAAAGAAAATGACGATTACTAAATCGGTTCACTGGTTTTATCGTAAGAACAAAACACTAATTGTGTTTGAGTTTTTGATTTTGCCATTTGATAAGGGACCTTCCGTTTTGAATTTTCCTTGGAATTCGGTATTTTTGCCATTTTACTTTTTAAACTTTTGACTGTTATCAAAGCCAAGAATATGCTGCATTAAGTGTAAGAAGTTGAAGTTCCTTTTTTCATTTTATTTTTTGAATAAAGTTTCTCAAAACTTTTATTAGCTCTGCTTTGACATGAAACCAGTGTCAACTATTGCCTTCATTCGTTGTCCGACGTCATATCGTTAGCTGTTCCCATATAAATCTTCTACCCCGAAATTACTAAATCAATGTAAAAGAAACTTTGCAGAATAATGTGTGTATGGTCCTCTACAAATTTACACATTTCTTTCTAATGGACGAAAAACATGACCGTCACAGTTAAATATTGATTCTAATTGGTGACTTATTGAAATTTCTCCTACACAAAACTACAGACCCAAACCATTTGAAATTATTTAAGCGACTTTTTTCGGATTATTTTGTCTGAAACTGTAGGGATATTTTTTTTAAATTTGCTACAAAATATTTTGGAAATTGCAATTATCACTGTTTCAATGTATCTAACAATACGAAAAAAAACCATATTATAATATAAAATAGAAACTCAGGCTTTCTAAATTCTAATTGGTCGATTTCAAAATTCCTTTATCCACCAAACTACCAAACTAAACCATCTCTTTAAATTTTGAATCTGGATGATAATTTTACACGTTCTCGGTATCAAACAATACCTAGTTATCCTGTAACAAAACGGTCATTAAGATCAACTCTAAACCGTACGCGAATTTTCAGTTTCAAACCAAAAGGTCGATGCAAATGAAGGTTGCCGTTACGTCCTAAAGGATACCAACAACCTAGCAGTCAACACTCTTGTGCTGTGTTGACATGAAATATCATTTTCTATAAACTTACATTTAATGAAAATATTGAATTATTTGAAACACTCAGTTATTTTCTACCCCCATGCATAGCCTAAGCCGTATTTGGCACAATTTTTCTGAATTTCTGTATATTTTTTAAAAAGAGGGACGAAAGATACCAAAGGGACAGTCAAACTCATAGATCGAAAACAAACTGACAACGCCATGGCCAAAAACAAAAAAGACAAACAGACCAACAATAGTACAGATGACACAACATAGAAAACTAAAGACTAAGCAACACGAACCCCACCAAAAACTGGGGGTGATCTCAGGTGCTCCGGAAGGGTAAGCAGATCCTGCTCCACATGTGGCACCCGTCGTGTTGCTTATGTTATTACAAATCCGGTAAATAGTCTAATTCGGTAAGTCACATTCGTGAAAAGGGAAGGGTATTGTAGTTACGACATAAGGAACATATCCGATATCATCTGTGAAACGGTTATTCCATAACGGTCAACCAACTCGTGATGGCGTCCGTAAAATTTACGAAGGGATGACTTCAACTTCACCATTTGGAACTCTTGGTTTAATAGCGTCCTTGTGAGCAGCAATCCTCTATCAAGGAAATCATGATAGGAAACACAAGCCCGTGAATATCGTATCAATTGGGAGATATATACTCCGTATGCAGGCGCTGCTGGAATGTTGCTACATAGAAATGGAAAGTTCACAATTGGGAAGCTAAAGTTTTGTTTTCAACCGACCCTCATTGTCAATTTCTAGATGTAAGTCAAGATATGAGGCAGACTTAACTGTATCTGTATTATCCTTTATCTCTAGTTCGATGGGATAGATTTGTTCAACATAGTCACCAAATTTTGTATTATTCAGTGAGAGAACATCATCTATATAGCGGAACGTAGAGTTAAAGGATATTGCTAACTTCTTATCTCTCTTCCTAAGAAGCTCCTGTATGAAGTCAGCCTCATAATAATAAAGAAACAAGTCGGCAAGAAAAGGGGCACAATTGGTTCCCATTGGAATTCCGACAGTCTGTTGAAAAACACGTCCTCCAAACGTAACAAATATGTTGTCAATCAAGAAATTTAACCTTCCTACTGTTTTGATTCGAGCACTACAGATTAGTCTTATGTAGTCAAGACGCACGTTTTGCATACCACATTGTCGGTCTGGTATCTTTAATGAGTATTTAGAACCACTGGGTCGATTCCACTGCTGATGGACGTTTCACCCAAACGATTTAAATATTTCAGTAGTCTGCACTTTTGTTTTGACATAAAATGTTACAGATACAGTCAATACTGATTATCAAAATGATGAATTATTTGAAACAATTGTGTTTTTATACCACAGTCATAGGTAGCCGTTGCCGTATTTGACACAAATTTTCGGAAATATCTTGATTTCAATGATTTCAATGCGTGAAAAAAAACCCGTGTTCAATTAGAATTGCATCGATATTTGTCAGTTTCAAAGCAACTATAGGTTGTAATATTTTCATGTTACTAAGCGTATGTTTATATTCCGTAAAACCGTTTCGAATATGCAAACAAAGATGGAAAAAATGACGGAATCACGAAATTCAAATCGTGGTAGACGGCTGCCTCAACAGAGTAAGCGCCTCCACCTATACATACTTCACCAGCCATCAGAATGAAGACTGTAATAAAATGCCACGAAGGAGAATAGAATTCAATCAATAAATTTACATATCAGAGGGCTATTCTTAGATGTGTCTTAAGATATAAGACTACGAAAACTAATTTGGACGCGTAATGCCAAATTAGTACCCATTTGAATGACCACTAACAGTTGACAATATCAGAATCAAACACGATAAAGATGTTTAGCATGTTTGTGATATCGTCTTTGGTGTTATTTGGTATTGTAATAAGTGTGTTATACAAGATTTTAGGCCAGAAAACAAAATCGAGAAAATGAAAATATTGTAATTAACCAATTGTTACATTACAGGTATATTTCGTGAGATTCTACACTTTTATTGGTTGAAAACAATTGCGAGGCATTCCAAAATGAAATTGTATTTTTCAATCAAATGCAACATTCATTACTGCACATGCTTCCCAGTACAACGTTACGACAAATTTCAGTGTTGTAACATATAAATGTAATTATCAGAATTGAATGCTTTTTTTTTTGTAATTTTAAAGGGTTGCTGCCATGTTTAATTCCCCCAACAATAGTAAGAAGCAAAACTGTTATGTTTATTTTTTTCTGCTTAAAACTTATATACAAATATATTCTAAGCATTACACACGATGGCGTCTTCCTGTTTTGTTTATGATATTTCCCCCGAAACAGAACCATCCAATATTTAAGTGTAAGGTGGCATGATTTTACATCAGCAGTAATTGAGAGGTATTTTATACGGGATTGTTTATCTTTGTTGTTTTTTCATTGTGTCTTTGCTTTCTTTCATACCGCTATAATAGATTATTTTAAACTCGTCGCATGTGCATATGCATGCCCCAAATCAGAAACCTCATCAGTGCATGTCTTTTATTCTATCTTAGTGGTTTTGTCATTTAGGAAATATGGTATTGGCAGTAGGTCTTTGTTAGTCTAGGTTTATTAATTTCTCAATTTACCCGACTCTTCAAGACAATTTAGATCTTGACATATCGTATATATACCTATATATATATCTATAGTTAAAGGTCGTATGCTGACCTCTATGTGTTCTTTTCCTCGAATGTGACCTACCGTATTAGACTTATCGCATGGTTTGTACTTACATTAGCAACACGATGGGTACAACATATGGAGTAAGATCTGCACACCCTTGCGGAGTACCTGAGACCCTCTCCGGTTTTTGTTGGGGATCGTGTTGCTCAGTCTTTAGTATTCTGTGTTGTGGTTTTTGTACTGTTGTTGGTATTTTAGGTTTTTTTTAATTTTTTGCCATGGCACTGTCAGATTGTGTTCTACTTTTGAGTTTAAATATCCCTGTGGTATCTTTCGCCATTCTTGTGTATTTGTAGGGGTTTAAAATGCGATTAAAAAAATGTAAAATAACAAAAATACCGAACTCCAAGGAAAATTCAAATCGTAAAAAGGACGTAAGGACACACTGAAGAATTTTAAAACTCTACCAAAATCTCTTTACTTATTCCTGTATATTTTATTCTGTTTGTATTTGCCTAACGGCATTTAAAATATCGTTAATTTCATATTGTATTTTATAGGCAGTTTTGGTATTTTCTGGAGAAAGCAGTTGATGTTTAAAATAAATACTAAAAGTAAGGCGATACCAAGGAAGTAAACAAATGTAGTCGAAATCCAAAGAAACATTTTTGGCAAAAGAAAATAGACAACATCAAAAATCCAGAATAAACTCGTATGCCTATGGTGCCTGTCGTCTATTGTTGAAGACTGTATTTTGGCCTCCAGATGTCATTGTGTTTTTCTGTCGTTGACGTATTCCCTACATCTGTTTTAATACATAACAATAGTGCCTAACAACATATAACTCAAGGTTTGCATTGTTTTACCTTTGTCATTTCGGGGCTTTTTGTAACTTACTATGTTGTATGGATTTTGCTCATTGTTGACCTATAATTGTTAATTTCTACGCTATTTGTCTGATGGAGAGTTCGCTCATTGGCAACCAGACCACATCTTCTTATCTTTATATTAACAGAAGGATATCCCAAAAGCAACAACTATGAACATAACTACGAAACGGGACGAGTATTTTTTTCTGTAATTATACAGATTGAAAAAAAATATATATTTTTCCTTTGTCGGTGTTTTAAATTTTTCAGATGCAAGCATTTAAAAGTAAAGAAAATTTCGTAATCTGTTTTGTTTTCTATCTTTATAAGTATCAATTTCAAGACGACAGTTAACACTTAACCTAAGGAATTATACATTGTCTTTATAACATTTTTAAATTACCAATAATATGAAAAACAATTGTTTGTGCTTATATATTTTATTTCAGATTATAGTTTTGTATTTCACTTGGAGCAAACAACGCATGTAAGCTCTCTGCCACTCACGTATGGTGGACATTTTAAACTTCCACAAACGGCTTCCACTGGATACACGACACCCTCATTGCGACTGGAATCCCCGCCAGGCACAGATTCCAACTTCTCGTCAACACAGATGTATTCTGATGGTGTACGACTATTTTTACTTGCCTGCGACATGAGATATCCAGAAAATTCCTTGTGCAATCCGTTATGACATGATACTTTGCCTGGTACCATTAAAACTGTTGATCTTTTCGACTGGCATACAACACATGGCGTATCTTTATCGTGAAAAGTGTTTGGATATGGCTTATTATAACCGATTTCATATTCGATACCATATAGTTTACCTGTGTCAGCATTCTCTCCTTCTTTATAATCTTTCCATTCAGGATTCTTTGGTAAACATAGAAGATTTGAACCAGACCCACCCATGTTGTAGTGTTTTCCAGCAGCATATCCTACAAAAATTTCAATAAGTTTTCATATGCATTGAAGTTTTGATTTGTTTTAACAAAATTTATATCAGTTAGAGTTATGGTTTAATAACATTAAGTTAACAAGTAACGTAAGCTTAATTAGCGTTATAGAAAGTATTTATTTCAGTCATTTGATTTGTAGGTACCCTTGTGTTAATTCCTCCCTAAGACTGAAGCGAAATTATATGATATGCTTTACAATTGTTTCAATTATGAGAGTTTTAATAGGAACTGCAGTAATAACTTACCATCATAAACAAGATTAGACTCCTTTGGACATGATGTTTTCCCCCATCTAATATACGTCTCGCCTGAGTTTTCTGGAGAAAAAAGACAGGTCATATTTAGATTTTGATAAACATTTTATCATTGATTAAGGCGCGATTTTTTTTATATTATCATGTTCCACACACACTCTAAAACCACAAATAAATTCAACGTTATTATTACAACATATCACAAAAAAATGATTAAATGCGATTGAGAAGTGCTGTTCTTAAAAAATAACATTAGTTAAGTGTGGAAGGGAAAAACATACCACCGTTGTGAACATGCATAGATTGTAGATCTTTCAAGTTCCTCTCAATTTCGTTTATGAGGTGTTCTTTTAAACATCCTGGCTTTCCAGCTCGACAACAAACACAGGACAAAATGACAACCAAACTGATCTTCAACATGATAATGTGATATTTTCACCAGTAAGTTTGTAGTAGGTCTACTAACACAAAAGAATGGCTACTTTTGTTTTTATTATTATTATTGATGAAAAGATTTCAATTGTGTCGATGTAACAGATATGTAATACGAAACCTTTAATTACTATTGTGCGTGCTTTTTAAATGTCATCTTTAGTTGAGATTCTATAAATGAATGTTGCATATATCCTTAATCCCGAAGGAGTTTTTTATTCAAAGCTACATTCTTTTGGTCAATGTACAATAAATCAAAATAAAATACATCGAAATGACTAAATTAATTGAATCTATTGTGCTTTACATGAATGCGGGAATTTCTATAATTTAATTTGTTACATTGCGAAATTAAGCAAATAAGTAATTAAAAAAATACATCATTACTCTTTATGTTTTAAAGTCAGTCATCTACACTTTCATTTTAGTATACCAACTTGATTCGAGCGTCACTTATGAAAGAGAGGAAAAAGATACCAAAAGGGACATTCAAACTCACAAGTCGAAAATAAACTGACAACGCCATGGCTAAAAAAGAAAAAGACAAACAGACAAACAACAGTATACAAAGCACACAATAGAAATACTACTCGGCGGATAATGTCGTCCGGGACAAAATGTCCACCAGCAGAGACATCGACCCAGTGGTTGTATAAGATAGGCAAAAGATACCAAAGGGACATTCAAACTCATAAGTTGAAGAAAAAAAATCTTATATACAAAATTATAAGCCTGCAGTTTTAAATGAGGTTTTAGGTCTTTAAAGTGCTTTTTTCAACAACAGTATTCAGGATTTTCTAAGGTCCAAGGACCCACAGAAATAAATAATCAATAATCATGCATTGACTTGATATAATAACGATATAAAGATAAATCATCGAATCGGTGAAAATTCGGAGATCTGACACAAAATCACAAGGAGGTCCAAAACACAAACAAAAAGATCATATCTTACTTTCAGTTAAAGATGGCTTCAGTCAATACATTCTTTAATTGAATTCGTTTACGCCACATTCATTATTTGAGGATAGTAGATGCAGTGTAAAAAAAGAAGACTATAACGGGCAATGAAATCTGACAAGAACTTGACCGACAATTCAATTTGAGATATTTAAACAATTTAAAATTAAGCATATTAAGATATTTGTTAAGGCAAGCATGTGTCAGGACGGTATGTATGAATAATGTAAATAATTCGGTTGACCGTATTATTGTTTCAATAAACAAACAGACACAAAAGAACAAGTAATGCAACAAGTGAGATAAGTAATTTCAAAAATAAGTACATGGTTAGTATAGCAGAGAGTGCATGATACGCCCACCATGTGCATATGGATATTATTCCGAGAATAAATGGAGTATTAAAAAGGCATGTTATCAGGAGTTAACAAAATACCAAACTCCAATGCAAATTACAAAAGGTGAAAGTTCATAAAACCTGACAAAATCAAATGTCAGACTTCATCAACCAACTATTCCGAATGGAAAACAACTGTCATATTTCTGTCTAGGTATAGGTATTTCCATCAGAAAATGGTGGGTTAAACCTGGTTTTATAGCTAGCTTAACCACCCACTAGTATGACAGTTGTTTGTACTTCCGTTATATTGACACAGGTGGGTGAGCAACCCAAACTGTCACAATTGGTCAATGTGACACTAATTGGGATACAGCAACCAAAATGTGTAAACATCCATTACAGACATACAACATAACTGAGTAAAAAATTCAAATAATCATAGAAATAAATTTGACAAAGACGCCAACAAAAAAGTTATTGTAGTTGATAGTACATACAGTATATCAAAATATAAAGCCGTACTAGTATACACTTTCCTGATTAAGTACAAAATAAGTATACAAAAAAACACGGATAAACAAATGAAAACATCTTGCATCTGAATCGCACCTCTGAACCCACATTCACCAAGACCGCCCAAAGCCAAACCCCCAGATAGCTGGATGCACAAAATCTGAGTCACGTCAAGAGTGATAAGACCTAAAGGAACATAATAACACAAAGATAGATAAAGGTAAAAATGTAAATTAAATTAAAAAAAAAAAAAAAAACACAACTTCAGCACCTAGAATCTCCAGACCATTATTTGTGAAGTAGACACTAAATATTTATCCATTAGGTCTTGGTGCTTTCCGAAGAACTTTTTAGAAAAGGGACGAGACATCCTTTGGCAAAACCATAACTCATTAATTGTTTGCGTAGACATCGATGACGTTTTACAAAGTCTGAGTCGAGGCTGCAGGCATTTGAATATCGTATGAGTTCAGAAATGTATAGTCTATATGTGGGTGAAGTTGCTGCTAAGGTGAGAAAAATCGATAATTGAAATCGTCTCGTTTGTCATATAATATCTTACTGAGATAATCGATGTAGTCAAATTTGAGGTATTTGTCTAGAAATGAGGTGGAGGAAGCTAAATCTGTGGTTTCTTTAATCTCTATTGTAGGATAATATATATTATTGGGACCCAATTAGAAAAGTTTGGATTGTTAATGGAAAGAGCATCATCAATATACCTGTATATTAAATTCATTGATCTCTCCTCCTTGATCTTCTTGTAATTTACAAGTGTCTGAAGGAACTCCGTCTCATATGAAGAAAAAGTTGGCCAGGAGAGGTGCATTTTTGTTTTCAATAGGAATGCCGATACCTGCTAAAATGCTACTTGCAAATTCAAACAATATTTTGTTTATGAGAAACTTCAGTATGCTGATCACTTGTTCTTTGGTGTATTATGTTTTATTCTTTTAATTTTTAACAAAACATGCCAAATTATATCCCAAAACAATAAATTTGTAGCGTATGATAATATTTTTTATGGAGGAAGGCATTAGTATGGATTAGTTCTTTTAGACAGGTATTCAATTGTTCATTCAGTATGGTGGTGTAACGGGTGGAAAAATCGAGGGATTTTATAGAATTTGGCTCTGAAGAAAAACTTGAAAGAGGATGTCCTTCGGTGTATGAATATTGCCTTAAGTTATGACTATTAAAAAGTCCTTTAATATAGAACGAAAAACTAGAAAATTTTAAAATCCAAAAGTAAATATAAATAAGAAGATGTGGTATGAGTGCCAATGAGACAACTTCACTGCATTCACCAATCCCAACAACAGTGTAAAGTTTGTATTTATTTGATCCAATTATCTTTTAGCTAGTGAGAGATATGTATTGCATTAAATCTGACAGTTAAGTCTCATGACTAAAAAAAAGTTCAAAATCAAAAAGGATCTTACTTTCATAAATTCCAACAATTGTGTCAAGTTTCCAATAAATCAATCCAAGCACAATCAGGTTATAATACAACATGTGAAAAATTTACTTAAATCTGACAGATAATGTCTCGTAAACTTTTAAATCTGGAACAACAAACCAGAAAATGATCAAAATAAAAAATGAGCTTCCATTTATCAATCTCAACAACAGTGTAAAGGTTTTAGGAAACCAATCCAGGCACATTGGAGATAGTTTGCGACATGTGAAAATGCTTCATGAACATTGGAGATAGTCAGTACTTCGTTCATGAGGCATTTTCACATGTCGCAAACTATCTCCAATGTGTCCAGTACGAAGTACTGACATGATTAATAACAAACTTTTCTAAATTTGCCACTTTATAAATTGGGAAAGTGTAAATCTGGGATGACACATAAGTGAAAATCATAAAAATAATTTACTTTGATCGATTCTAACCCTTTGACAAAATTTCAGGAAAAACCATCAGAGTAAATGTTAATTTATTGAACAGCATTTGTGAAAATAAAGTCCCAATACATTGCAGCACTGGGTCGATACCTCTGCTGGTGGACTATCAGTCCCCGAGGGTATCAGCAGCTCAGTAGTCAGTATTTCGGTACTGAAATGATTAATAACAAACCTTTTTAAATTTGCCCGTTTATAAATTGTGAAATTATAAAGAAACTGAGGTTTCAACTCCCTCAGGCAAAGTTGGCCTTAGAAGGATTTGGCTATTATTTTATGTCATTTTTGATTATATAGCTCTTCAACTGTTTCGGTTTTATACATCCTTGGCTTTCAAATTTTCGGCTTTGAGCGTTCCTGATGAAGGTAAATCCAGAAAAGCGCTTCAGACGCATTACATTTTTAATGTGTTGTTTTCATTTTGTATCGGATATTCTCAAAATCGAAAGAGAACTTTCCCGTCAATCCTAAAATTGTGTTAAGATTTAATGAGATTAGTTAAATCAAATTTGAATTATCATACGAAGTGTTGCCATATGGACGGACAAACCCGAAGACGGACTACGACAAATTGTTATACGTACCGTCTAATATTGGAGTATTAAAATATCAGATCAAGTACGGGAAACTTTCTACGACTTGCATACAACACGAGAGAAACCCTGTCAATGAAATGGAATATTAGAATGTTGAGGTATATTTGTTCATGGAACCAAATCCCTATACGTTCATAACAAAACCCCTAGCTGAGTAACACATCATTTATTGCTGTTCTTCATTTTAAAGAATCATTGCTGAAAAATCTCCCACCTCCTTCAACTTCAAGACGCTCCTTAACAAAAATTCGAGAGAAATTGTATGCTTGATATCGATATCGCTGAATCTCTTCACTGAAATACACACAGGATAAAAACAACAATTAACAGACTATAAAGAGCAACTAATCTAAAAAATACTAACAGAATGTTTCCGACAATATCTGCGTAAAATACAAAACAAATACAAGCATTATGAAAACAATGGACCTCAAGTAAAGATTTTCATCAATTGTATGACATGTTCTGAGATTTGAGATGATACTTTCATGAAAATAAACTTTAAACAAAAACAATATTAACGTCATAGTTCACTGAAAGAAGAGAAGCCAGCACCAATGCCAAACAAATATGAAATAAGACAAACCAAAGTATGCAAAACATCCTACAGGGATATATATAGATTTTCAAACAACAAACATCTCAAAAACTTGGAGTAGACACTACACAGAAACAACACAACAGTTCACCAAAAGATCATCTAA